AGACAGGGACAGGGAGGGGACAGGGTCAGAGACAGGGACAGGGTCAGGGACAGGGACAGGGGTAGAGACAGGGGCAGGGACAGGAACAGACACAGACACAGGGACAGGGACAGGGCCAGGGACAGGGACAGGGACAGGGATAGGGATAGGGATCAGGGACAGGGACAGGGCAGGTTCAGAGACAGGAACAGACACAGGGTCAGGGACAGGGACAGGGACAGGGACAGGGTCAGGGTCAGGGTCAGGGACAGGGACAGGGGTAGAGACAGGGTCAGGGACAGGAACAGACACAGACACAGGGACAGGGACAGGTCCAGGGCCGGTCCCGGTTCCGAGGGTTGGGCACTCTGTGCCCGGGGACGCGGGGCAGCTCCCGGGGCCCGGACGGGGCTGTCCGGGGCGGGGGCAGCCCCAGGGACCCCCGCTCAGCGCAGGGAAGGTGCCCCTGGGCCTGTGCCGGCTGTGGACACCCCGAGGATCCCGCTGCCCGCCCCGCTCGGGCGGAGGGGATGTGAGTTGGAGGGATGCTCGGAGGGGTCTGTGACCTGCCCGGAGGCTCCTCTCCAAACCCCGCTGGGTTCAGTGTGTGCTGCCCACCGGGGTGCCCGGCAGCTGTGTCCCCTGGGCAGGAGGCGGGTCACAGCCCTGCAGTGACTCCAGCGTGAAGCAGTCCCTGGTGCCTGAGGAACAAGGAGATGAAGCCCACTCCCTTGGGAACTCCCGCTGAGCAGGTCCTGGGGTGTGCCGGCAAGCACGGAGCCCTGCTCCGGGCACTGCCTGTGCTTTGTGCCTCTGACAGGGACAGCCATCACTGGGGTGCTCCAGGTGCCACCGGGACACAGCTCTGGAGCAGGCGTGCGGCACCCGCGGCTCTGCACGGCCGCTCCCCTGGGCAGCATCCAGGGGCCCCGCGGCACCACGATCCCGTTTGTCCTGATTCCTGGGGAGGGAGGTGCAGAGGCCTGAATGGCTGATGTCGGGATCAGCCGGGTGGCTTTCCAGCCTGGTGTGTCTGTCAAGTGCTCTCCCTGGCCGAGGGCTGAGGATGAATCCCAGGTGCACGTGCCGCTTGCGAGGCAGGACGCGCGTCATGACTGTCCCCGGCTTAATGGCTGGCATCCCGTTCCACCTGCCAGTGTGGAACCTGCCTGCCCACCGGGCTCTGCTCCGCAGCCACAGGCAAAGCCAGGTGGGTGAACGAGGGGGAGCTGGGGCCTACCGGGGCGCGGGGATACTGGGACGAGCGCTTGAGAGCGGCAGGGGAACCGTACAGTGCCACAGAAGTAAAGGCAGCGACGTGTACGGGGCGCCCGTGGTACCTTACAGGGTACGGAGTGCTCTAGGGTTTCACGGTACGCTGGGGATGCCACTGGGGACGGCGGGATCGGGACTCACGGGGACCACGCTCCCACCGCTCATGGTGTTCCTCTCCTCCACGGCAGGGCTCCGGGGTGCCAGCCGGGTGCCGGGGTGCCCGCTCTCCCGCTGGCATGGAGACCTGGTCCCGGCGCAGCGCTGCCTTCGACTGCGCGCCCCAGCCGGCAGCTTGCTGCCCCGACTGGATGGCGGAGCTCCCCGACGCTCTGCCCCTGTCCCGCCTCTCCATCCCCGGCACCCACGACTCCCTCAGCCTGTTCGGCGGCCGGCGCCTGCGGTGCCAGAGCTGGGGCCTGGAGGCTCAGCTGGCGGCCGGCATTCGCTTTCTGGACGTGCGCTGCAAGCTGCGGCGGGGCGAGCTCGGCATCTACCACCTGTGCACGTTCCAGCGGGCCAGCCTGCGGGGCGTGCTGCGCCGCACCCTGCGCTTCCTCCGCGCCCACCCCGGCGAGGCCGTGCTTATGCGCATCAAGGAGGAGCTGCCCGGCCTCCCCCGGGCCCGCTTCGCTGCCCAGCTGCGCCGCTGCCTGCTGGAGGAGGGACAGGGCTGCGTGTGGTGCCGGGAGGAGGTGCCCACGCTGGGCCAGGTGCGAGGGAAGATTGTGGTGCTGGAGGCGCTGGCTCGGGACGTGCTGGGCATCCCCTACGAGCGGCTGAACATCAGCGACGCCTGGAACGTGCTCTCGCTGGAGCGCAAGTGGGCCCGGGTGCGGCGGCACCTGGAGAAGGCGGCCGGAGGAGACCCGGCCACCATGTACCTCACCTTCTGCTCCGGCAATGGGCTCTTCACGTGGCCCGAGGAGGTGGCCCGCTTCGTGAACCCCCGCTGCTGGCAGCACCTGCGGCCCCGCGGGCAGCCCGTGCGCTGGGGAGTGCTCATCATGGACTTCCCTGGCTCCGGCCTTCTCCGCCTCATCGTGGACAGCAACGGCCCGAGGGGCAATGGACGGGGCACAGCGGCCCCCGGCAGCCCCACGGTGCCGGCCCGGGGCCACAGGGACACGGGGGACACAGGGGACAGGCAGCACGGCCCTGCGCGCTGGCCCTCGGCAAGGACGCTGCCCCCGGCCCCGCGCCGCTGCCCCAGGAGCTCGGTGCCTGGAGGACACAAGCGGGTTTCTAGGTCGTGCAGAGCAGCGGGGAGCCTTCGTGTGACAGCGGGGTGACAGCGGGGTGACAGTGGGGTGACAGTGGGGTCACAGTGGGGTGACAGTGGGGTGACAGTGGGGTGACAGCGGGGTGACATTGGTGTGACAGCAGGGTGACAGCAGGGTGACAGCAGTGTGACAGCAGTGTGACATTGGTGTGACAGCGGGGTGACAGCAGGGTGACAGCGGTGTGACAGCAGGG